CCTTGTCAGTCAAAACCTAAGTTCTTTTAAGGTTTTTATTAGAACAAAATACAGTGTCGATAGGCAAAAGAATCCTTGAAACCGGATGGAGAAATTCTGAGTAGATTCGCTCGTTCGAAATCGAAAGTTTATCTCGTCAGCTTCAAAAGTAAGAATACCAATTAATAATAAACTAGCTAGTGCAACGATAACACTTTTTAATATATTGTCGAAGGATTGACCGTTTTTCATTAGGTCCATCACAATATTCACCTTCATAATCTTAAAAACAAAGGCAATCACTTAATTGATGATCAGCATCTTCATCAACATGATAAACACATTCACCATAGTACACAATGACATTGTAAAACACTTTCATGTTCAGCAACATTGCTTTAAAGAAATCATACTACTTTATTTTTTTTTAAATTTTCATATACATAGGTGTATTCAATTTTTTGACTATCTTCTTGAGAATATATAATGAATGGTTTTCATGATTAATCCAATACAAATGACTTACAAACATATCTAATGAATGTGATGCATATATTTCAAGATGTGTTATAACAATACGATCTGTTCCATCATAATTCATTGATTTAATTGATTCTTTTTTTTTTTCATTTCTTCAATAAACACGATAAATTCGTATAGGCTGACTCAATAACAACGATATGTTCATTAGAATTCTCAACAGCTCCATGTTCATGATTAATAAAATAAAGTATTCGAACTATTGGATTAACAGAAACAATCCATAGTGATTCAATATTTGTTATTAATTTAGTTGCATAATGACCATCATTTACATAAAGATTTTGATCAATCCAATCAAGAGCTATACTATTTGGAAAAGGCTACGATAAGTTTCTGATGTAGATTCATTCATCCAATGAAATATACGATTATTAGTATCAATAAAATCATTTTTAGCTTCAATAAATACATCGTAATGTGATGCATTTTCTATGGAATTTCCACGAAGACGAAAAATTTGTCGAAATTCAATAGGATTCAATATAATTTGATCAAAAAACAACTATTGGATTTTGTTTTCTTATTATTGAGATATGAGAAGATAATCATAGGAATCGTTTTTTATGAATGTTTTACAAAGATGATGGATTTTAAAATAATTTTGTCTTATGCAGTATGAGACAAAAAGGACACCTGGAATCTTCTATTTTGATTGCTGAAAACCACAGGTCGCTACCGGTTACCATTGTCGAATTAAAGACGTTACACATACCCTTCTTTAATTCTCGCATAAACATTACTTCGCCTAAAATGAGATGTTCAGTAATTCCAGTTCATGTTTAGATTACATAGGAAGGTTTTAATAAGACTAGAACAATCTTAAAATACAGAGTGGCCCAAAAGTCACGTTCCTGAAAAAAGATTTAATATCCCCAATATGACTCGAGTAAACGAGCTGATTTTTTCATCAGTGATAAAGGCGTGTTCAAGCTTGATATCCAAAAAGACATGCCTAGAGCGACCCTTTGTTAAGTATGTTGTTGTTTTTTTTTTGTTGAGGTCAATGGTGATACTTAACAAAAGGCTCTCTAGGCATGCCTTTATGAATATAAAGCTTGAACATGTCTCTATCATTGATAAAAAAAAATCAGCTCGTTTGTTTGAGTCGTAATGAAGATACTCACTTTTTTTTTTCGGTAAAGTGACTTTTGTGTTACCCTGTATGTGTGACATTACTATTAATAGTAGCTTAAAGAAAAACAGAATTTAACATCCATTTTTTTGTAATAGAGAATAGATTACTAGAATTTTTCATTGTTGAGTTATTGATAATTTCTTTTTTGACCTATTTTATCCAATTAATATTTGATTTATTCAATAACGATTGAAAAAATGGCACGTACAAAAAATATCAAATAAAACAACAAAATTGACATAGTCTATTGAGGTAGACAAACTATGGCTCAGATGTATGTTAATTTTTTATTGCAAATATATCAATAAATGTATGTATGTTATACAAAACATGAAAAGTCATTTAAAAATCAATACGTCTATGCAAAAAAAAAGTCTATTAGTTATGCTGTTTTTTCTTATGATCGACAGTACATCATTATCAACAATTTATATAATTTCGAACAAAACTAATTATACAAGTTTCGTTTTTCTTTTACTAGTATGTAGATATATTGATCGAAAATGTGAACGATTACATTAGTAGTTATTCTTTTTGCTTTTCATTAATCGAAAGTAAATGCATTTATGTATGAGTTGAAAATAAATTTATTATGTCCTTCAATAACTACAACATATTAAAACGAATGATGATTTGCGTCGGTATGTTATACGTTGATGATATGTGTACATTTCATGTCCTATACATAGAAAGAAAAAAGAAATTGAAAAAGAAGGAAAGACATACGGCACAGTTGACGCAAAAAAAAGTGCACCATGGTGGTAAAAAAGCAGTAAAGAAAAAATTCCATTAATATAAAATATATTGCAATAAAAAGCAATGCTATATAGTTTTTATGTTTACGTTTGTGTAAATAGAATATAAAAGAAAGTGTGAATATTGCTATTCTAAACTTTAATTTATATATTAGGATGATTTGTATGGAAACAAATCAATTGAAATAGTTCGAATATCTTTATTTTATATAGTTTTTCAAAAAAAAAAAAAAGCGGATGACTCAATAAGAAGGACATAGTAAATTCGCAGAATGAAAGAAAGAATAGAAAATATTGATAAAAGACCTGTAACTACGTTAGAGAAGAAAGAGATAGAGAAAAAAAAAGTTTACTTGAGTTAAAGCGCGCGCGCACGCTCGCAACAGCTTCTTTTACTTACGCCATTCGTCATTTCTCGTGCTTCCTCTTCTTTGCATCGTCACCGGTTTTATTACTGCTGTTACTGGTAAAATAAAGAATGAAAAAGAGAAAAAAAAATACTGGAGACAAAAAAAAAAGTCCCGATCAGAATACTCGTCAACTCAAATCTTTTTCTCTTCTTTTTTTAACACTTTTGTATAATTCGTCATACCGTCTCATATATTATAACTGATTTGGCATTCGTTTTTTTTTAAATTAGTTTTGATCTTCTTACAAGCTACTAAAATTAATCATATGCGATGGTTGTATATTGGAAAGCGATCATAACTGTCTTTCTGCTCTATGCAGTCGGTAAGTGTAATGTTTATTATCGTTCTTATATAAAGTAGGTGTCAAACAAGAGGATGACCTTGACTATATTTCAATAATATAAAATACACATAAAATCGATGAAAAAAAAAAAGAATTAGAGAATTTTATCTGATTAACTGGTTATCGAAATACAAAATCAATACTTCTGAAAATCCAAAAAAAAAAAAAGAATAAAGAAAAAATAACACATCTTTTATTCAAGTGTCGTTAGGTAAATAACATTTATCGAAAGAAGATGAAGTAAATGTTACATGAGGATCAATAATGAATAAGTACGTTCGTACGTGTGCATAACAACACATTGACAATGACCTTTTTTCATCAGAGAATATAATCATAAAACTATATTATTTAATAAAGCATATTCAAGTATATTTACATGATTGAATCTGTACAAAAAAAAAATAATTGATTATTATCAAATTAATAATTTTCTTTAAATTTTAAGTTATCGATGGTAATCGAGCTCGTCGTCGTCGACGACAAGCATTAGATGAAGCAGCTAATTCTGTTAATCAAAGACGATTACCACCCAAACCTAGAATTCTTAATGCTCAGGAACCATCATCTCTACTAAATGATGATCAAAATGAAGTTATATCAGGAAAAACAGGTGGTCGACAGTATAATCCATATCGAAATCCATATGGTTATGGAACTGTTCAAGGTACAAATTATCCATATGCTGGTGCAGGTGTTGGTCCATATCAATATGGATATGGACAATGTAAGAATAAAATAATAATAAAATGAATTCATTTTCTTGAATTTTTATTTAGATGGACAATCTGGACAAGCAATAGGACACTATGGTTCCTATTACAATCAAAATCCAGGTTCATATGGTTACTATTCAGGTTATAATAGTGGAAGTTCTTACAATCGTCCTGGTTATTATGGATCTAATTATTATCCATCAGCGGGTGGAAATTATTATGGTGGTTACTTTTGGAATGCTGGACAAAAACAAAATATTAATATGTTTGTTGTATTTATTTCCTTATTGGGTAGTTTAGTAATTTGTTTGAGCTTGTAGAAAGATAGATATATATATGATATCTCTATTGGTATATTCTTATGCGCTTTTTTCCATGTACATACTTTTATTAACATGTGTGTCGTTTTTTTTTTCTATATGGTCACATAAATATATTGAAAAAGATTCTTTTTTTTTTCATATGTGCTTCATCGTTTCTTCTTGCTAATTTTTTTTTTTACAAAGCTGTATTTGGCTTAGGAATTTTATCTGTCTTTATTTTTATCAATGTGTTATTAGTTATTTTAATAACTTTTTTGAGAAAAAATAATATATTTTATTTCTGCGATACTAACAAAAAAGAATATTTGATCAATATTCCGTAAGATATTTTTTAAGAAAACATAATTTTAGTGTTATTGTTAATTTCTTAGTCTAATTGGAGTTTTAACTATAAATTATTATTTTCTTATGAATAATTATTACAATATATGCAGCAATAAATGGATCTTAATACTAATTATTAAATTATATATGATTATTTATTTATAAAGTTAAGTATACAGTTTTAAAATTAAAACAACATCTTAGTAAGAGTAGGCAGTGTTCTGGACTTGATTTGAATAACAGGTTATGTTTATGCTGCCATGTTAGATATAAAAAAAAGAGAATTCCAGGACTAGAAACAGTTTTTCTTTTGATCGAGATCGAAATCAATTTTTTTTTCTGCTTGAGACCAGTATCAAAAACGATCGGTTAAGAATTCAATTAGGTCAAAAAATTAAGAAAAACACTAAAACCTTTCAGAAGAAAAATAAAGTTTTATTTTGATCATGACATTTGAATTATAAACGTCGAAATATGATAGAATAAGATCAATATAGGTATACAAAATGAATAAAATAATTCTTCGTTTAATCCTTAATTGCAGTTTATACTTTCTGATACATGAATCATAATAGTTAGATATTTTTACTATAAAATAAAAATAGATAACCTTTTTTACGTTGCTTGATATGTTACTTTTTTATGTAAGTGGTTTATTACTATTGTATAAGCAATAAAAAACGTGATAGTCTTTTTTTTTTTATTAAATTTAAGAGACGCTTTGAAATAATCATTATAATAATCGAATTCTTTTTGATTACATAAATTAAAAGAAAATGATGTGACAAATATAAATCAATAATTTATTCATTGACAGATTTGATAAATTAGAAGCAATTTACTGTTGCTGAAATTACTTTTACGAGTCAAATGTAAATTTAACTTTTTGATGCATCAATAAATCAATTATATTGTTTTTTTTTGTATCATACTTTTCAATGTATTACAAATGTTTAAATAAATCAAACACGTACTATTTTAATAAGAATTTGGCACTTATTACAGAATTATTCTTCGGGCAATAGTAGAAACATCATATATGTGTTTTTTCCCTAATTATCTATCTGAGTTGTTATTGTTTGACATTGCAATGCGTATATTTTAGAAGGTTTTTTTTTAACACGAACATACAGAAAAGAAGACCAACAAAAAAAAATGCTAGAAAAACATAGAACTTGATCAACATTCCTTACATAACAGCAACCTTGCATTACCACTACGAGCATCCAAATTGCTATTCAATGCGGAGACAAAACTTTTATATCGTTTCAAATTTTTGTGAGATATTCTCACAGAAATGCCACACATATTCGGTTCACTATTTAATTCCGATTAGAAAACTTCATTGAGAGTATCAAAATGTAGTTCAATCGAGTCCGAAAATTTTGTATCCGACAGGCTCTAGCATAGATACAATGTCAATGTAATTTATTTAAATTTTTAACAATTGTTTTCTAATTACAACAATGATTAACACAAAAAATAACTAGGAAATTATGACAATCTGACATTTAAGAAATTATATTTGCTAAACATAGTTCAATATCTCTAAATAAAACAAAAAATTAGTAAATGAAAAAAAAGAACTTCAAAAATTATATTCTCACTGAAATTGAATTAATAATTCATTACGTTTTTGTTTTAACATATTTAAAATATCATCATCAAATTCTTCATCATCTGAAAAAAAGAAAATAATCAATTTGTATTCTTTTATTAAATAGAACTAACCTTTTAGTTCATTTATTTCAATTGTATTATTATTTTCAATCTGATGATAATGATTATTATTATTATTATTTTCATTAATTATAATGGATGTAACTTGTGTTAATGTACTTTCTTGTGAAGATTGAACTGTATTCAAACTATTATTCATTATTGTTGGATGTTCAACAAGAACAACTGGACGAAAACTACGATGATGTCGTTTAATAGATAATGGTGATGATGATATTTGTGTCATTTCACATTTAGATCGAATTGGTGGACGATGACAAACAGATAAATGTTGATCATCATCATCATGTGTCGGAAGATCATTTTCATTAGAAATATTTGGTATTGTTGAAAGAGTTAAAGATGTTTGAATACAAGCATCCTAGAAATAAATTTGATTTTTATTATAATAGAACAAACCTTGTCAAAGCAGTCATATTACGACCCAAAGTATGGAACTTTCAAACTATGACTGTCGTTAACTCATGGTATATTGTCAAAGTGAAACACCAAATAAATGAATAAATCAAAATTTATAGTTGATACATGCACTTTGACATATACTTTGTGATAAGCGATATCAACAATAAAGACAATTAAGTCTGGGTTTAGGTTCTAGTCAGAAAAAATGTTAACTCCAATTCCAGCTCTGATGCCGTTTCGACCATCATGCCTATATCAGCATATATTGCTGAGTTATGCTTAAACTTAGAATTCAATTAGTTGATAATTTTCTCTATCCGTCCTATACTAACTGTACTAAAAAAAACTCGAATAGTACATTTTATGGAGTACCTTCTGCTCTACAAATTGATTTAATGTTACAGGTGGCAAAAAGATTTACTTTGCGTCTAGACAATTTATTTGATCACAAGACTTTCGGATCATTCGTTAACATCTTTTCATTCCGCAAAATACTAAAATTTGTAATATTTAGACTAGTTCGAATCTATGCTAGAAATATTCAATTTATCGAATGCCTGAGAAGGTTCTAGACATTATTGACACACCTTTTTTTTATTGTTAGAAAGCTTTGCTCAATGATATTTGGTTTTTCTCTTCTCAATCCTTGATTACCAAAAATCTAAAAAATAATTTACTTGTATTGTTTGAGTCGATGTTTCTGAATATTGTCGAATAGGTACTTGAGTCATGATTGTTTCATGATTTGCTATTGATGGTAAAACAATTGGAGATGAAGTCATTGTTTGTACTTCAATTGGTTTTGAAGGAATGACTGAGCGAAATTGAGATATATTAGGTTGATTAAATACCTATGAGAGGATAAATATTGAAGTTAATTATTACAAAATGATGAATAAATACTTTCGATGAAAAACTAATTGGTTCATTATTGGTTACTTGTTCTAATCGACGACGTAAACGCCATTGATATAAAATATCATCTTCACCATTTTCAATTTTATATTCAACTTTTGAATCAACTTATAACGAAAAAAAAAACCTATTGTATTTTTCAGAAAAAAATAAATTTATTGTACCAATTCGAGTATTGACCGGTCGAGTTGGTTGTTCATGCATAACTATTATTCTAGTAGAATCGATATCCGTGTTTGATGTATGTCCTGTATCAGAGGAATGAGCACTCAATGTTTGATTGAGAAGTAATGATGCTCGTTTATTTAAATCTTGATCAATATCAGTTGATGAAAATACCTGAGATTATGTTTCTAGTCAATTTTGTTATAGAAAAAGATTATTTTACTTCAATAGATTCTGGAAAGTTTTCATCTAAATAAGAAGTATTTTTTGATTCGTCTAAATGCAAGAAAAAAAACAAATAAACTAGATGAAAGACTCAATGAAAATTTTGTACCATTTAACCACGAAAATTCTGAAATGATTGTATCATGTTCTGGTTGCATTTGAAGTTCATCATGATGAAAACGATCGACAAAACTAAAGAAAACAAAAAAAAAAATAAGTATACTTAAGTAAAATGAATTTCAATTAACAAACTTTTTTAAAGTTAAAGCTTCATTGAAATTTGTTTTTGTTGATATATCAACAATTTTTTTTGGTGAAGATTGAGAACTTAAATTAATACTTTTCTTGTATATTTTTTTGTTATCATAAAATTTCTTCGTTATTCTTACATAGATGGAACATTGGAAGGCTTGATATTCGTCGGAGGAGTTCTTCGAGATGTACCTTTCATCGTTGGACTGACATAACGACGCCTTGTTCGACTAGCTACTTGCATTTTATTTTATATCAAATCTGGATAAAAGAAAAAAAAAACAAAAACGATTAATTCAAAATAATTGTTTAATTGATAGAAAATGAAAGATGTTATACGAAATAGTAACTTTTCTAGAAGAAGTTTTTATGTATTAAGTTATCGAAGAAACCCTGAAAAAAAATTAGCACTAGAGCTCTATGTTCAGAGGAGTTATCAGTGCTAAAAGAACCTTATAAAGAATTAAAATTAAATCAAAGATGGATATGATCTATCTATACTAAACTATGAGATTTAATATAATAAACATTATTGCTTTGGTTTATTATCTCGATTTATCATTTTCTAATTTCATATCAATGTCATTAGTAATAAATGAGACAGATTAAATTACTATTTTTTTTGGATCAGAAAGTTGGATTCTGACGCAGACAGATCACGAATCTCAAGTAGATTCTATTGATATGCTCTATTTTAAATCAGCGTGTACTCCTATTTTCCAGGCTAAAAATTCGTAAATGTCAAAAAGCACATCGTTTGCTCAGCATTAGACTAGAATAAGTTGTTCTTTTGTTCAATAGTCTTTTATTTACTATTCAGACACACCAAGAACACGTATGAACATGTCTTTTAGTCTTACAACCAAATTCTTTATCTTTTTGAATCATAACTGAACTTTCCGGTCTAATCTAACTCAAGAAATAAGCTGAGTAACACTGTAGCCTCACCCGATATATATATATATAAACAACAATATACGGTGTGATGATAACCTAAGCTAGTTTGAAATATGATAACTTATACATACAAGGTGTCAGTTTTGTTGTGAGTATTGATTTACTCTTAATCCACACATATCCATAAAACTAGCCCTTCTATTTCTAGGAATCCAAAAACCGGATCTTGAATATCAAATCCAAACTGGTTTTGAAGGCTTCAAATTCGTTGCATCGTTATGGTATTTGATTTTACGAAATCTCGTCGGATTTGAGATCAAATTCAAACCTTTGAATGACAAATCCCAAAGCCTTGGATTTGTTGCATTCCTATTTAACGTCAAGTGTTGTTTAAGATCTTCAAAGAATTGTTTATATAAAGAAAAATATATTTCTCGATAGTTTTATAGTCAATTTTGTTATTGAATGTTCTGAAAGTTACAATAGAGATATTTCAATAGTTTGCAAACGATGATAAATAAAGCTGAATAGTGACGAATGAAATAGTTTAAAGAAAAAGTTAATAAAGACTCACAATGCTCAAATATGTCTCAATTGATCGTTTATATACACTATATCACAATACTTATAAACTTTAGTTAATCTAGATATGTTTTTGCGGAGACACCTTTCAAAAATCCGAAAAGGCCGAACACTTATTTTTCGGAACACAGATGACTGTGTGATTCAAGTTTGGATACAAATGAAAATTTAAGGACTATTGTAGGCAAAAACAAAATTTATTTCATTTATCGGTTACATATATTTCCCACATACATAAGAAATAACAAAATGAATATAACGTGAAAGATAGATTAACTATATATTTAATAAATAGTATCGATGTCTAAAGACTAGTTAATTAAAACACAAAATTTATTTCTATGAAGCATTTTTGTCCATCAATGAAAGTAAAAGCACTCAGATATAAGAAGAATGACTCATGCTGGTATACCAGCTGCTCCGATAAGAAAAAATCCTACTGATTCCAGATCTGCACTTCGGTATACAAGAACGCATCATAAATTGTACGCTATACTGCATAAACCGAAGACATACACGAGTCATGACTCTTCGAGGATGCTTCGCACTTTACACCACGACACGGATATAAACGAACAATTACTTGAAGAAAAGTGCTTCTATATTCAAAATCACAATTTTGATTTATTGAATAAATTTAAAAAAAAATGAGTCATCATTTAACTTAAATTAAAAAGAGAAAACTTCGGATATAATATGATAACAAAACAAAAAAAGTAATAAAGAATCGTTCTATAACATACAGAATAAATTTTCTTTGTATAATACATAATATTTACTTCAAAAAAAAATCTAACAAACCTTCAAGACAAAAGAATTACAAACAAATTAGATAATTGATATACCATTATGATTGTACATTTTTTGTTAGTTGTCAAGTGACTAATTAATAATAATAATACCTTTGATTGAATGAATAAATCATAAAAAAAAATAATTTTCAATTTACTCTATCAATAAAATATTTTCTGAGTAATTTCAGACAAAAAAAAACTTCATAGAAGATGTCGCAAATTGATTCTACCTCTGACAATTTCAATTTCCTTAGTTTGCTTTCTATTCGTTGGTTTATATTTTGTTTTTGATTTGTCATCATTATCAATGCAAAATAATCCGTATTTATAAAAGGTGTCTCGTTTACGAATTGTTTTTTTCATCTTAACTTTTATACTTGTCAACAAGAATTACGATTATATTTTCATGGATATAAATGAAAAAGATTCACATGATTTAACTGGTCATACAGTTAAAGAAACACCAGATTGTATTTATGAACGTTTACGTCATGAAATATCACGTATTGGATCAGCTGCACGATCAACTTCAGATATATTTTTTGTTTTTGGTGCATCCGTATGTATCAATTTGATTCATCAATTAAATTTGTGTTTTTTTCTTTTCCTAGGGTGATTTAGCTAAAAAGAAAATTTATCCAACACTTTGGTTTGTAAAATAAAACAGAATCTGTTTTTTTTTTTGATCTTATATTTTAGGTGGCTTTATCGTGATGGATTTTTACCTGAACATATTTGTATTATTGGCTATGCTCGTAGTCAATTAACAGTACAAAAAATCTTTGAAAATGCTGAAAAATATATGAAAGTAAAAATAAAATAAAAAATTTTTTTGAATAATAAAAAAAACCAAATTAGGTTCAAGACGATGAACGTGATATATATAAAAAATTTATTAGTATTAATTCTTATGTTGCTGGTTCATATGATAATAAAAAAGATTTTGAAAATTTAAATCATCAAGCTAATGAATTATCAAAACAAGAAAGTGCACATCGATTTTTTTATTTAGCATTACCACCAAGTGTTTATGAATGTGTTACAGAATTAATTAGTTTATATTGTCGACCAAAATCGTATGACAAAAAATTTTTATATTTTATTTTATTTTTTTTTGATTTTTTTTAATAGACCTGGTTGGTTACGTTTAATTGTTGAAAAACCATTTGGTAAAAATCTTGAAAGTTCAAATAAATTATCAGTACATTTAAATAAATTTTTTACTGAAGAAGAAATTTATCGTATTGATCATTATTTGGGAAAAGAAATGGTACAAAATATAATTGTACTTCGATTTGCAAATCAAATTTTATCAAGAGTTTGGAATAGAGATTCAATTGCAGCAGTTAATATTATTTTTAAAGAAGATATTGGAACACAAGGAAGAGGTGGTTATTTTGATGAATTTGGTATTATTCGGTATGAATTGAAACAAAAAAAAAAAATTTTTTTTTTAATAATTAATATTAGTAACATGAATAACTAGGGGAATTATTAATGAAGTCTCATTCCATGTTTTTCACTTTTTGAGAAAGCCCTTAGTCAATAGATAGCAGAGATGTCCATGGCGGCGCGGCAGCGGCAGGTTTCTTAAAAACTCATCGCGGCAGCGGCAGAGTTTTTAAAAGCTCATCGCGGCAGCGGCAGCATTTTTTTTCGAGGACATTGAAAAACTGCATGAATTTAATAGAATTTCATTGTTTACAAATGAAACACCCCGAGACTGAATGAATCTGATGGACTAGTACCAATATTTCTGGTCCAATACAGTTGCAACAGTGAAAATCGAAACACTTTTTTGAAAACCATCGCGGCAGCGGCAAGTTTATTACTCATCGCGGCGCGGCAGCGGCGTGGTGACTTTTTTTTATAAACCATCGCGGCGCGGCAGCGGCGTGGTAACTTTTTTTTTCTAATGCCGCGGCGCGGCAGTGGCAGAGTTTCAGCCGCGATGGACATCTCTGATAGATAGTAGACAGTACAATGAATAAGAACTACTGAAAGCAATTCTCTTGCGTCTAGATCTTATCTAAACGTTACTATTAATCTCAATGTCGAAGAGATGTCTCTATCAGTTTTTTTTCTTCATATTTTTACTTAAAAAAAAGTTCATGATGAAAAGTGTTCTATGAGGAACGTTTCCAGGTTTTTGACCGAAAATTAATGCATTTTGTAAACTTTAGTGAACTATTTCACTCGTAAAAAGAGCTTGTGTCCATGATTTATTTCTGATGAGATCGGATATTTTTAGTAAATTTCGACTGTATGACCCCCATGCTGACAGCAAAATTTTTTCATAGATAGTATATGAATCATTTCAGGCAAAGGGCTATATACCCATTTTTCATTTGACTGTGATACTTTTACGAGGACTATCTTTCTGAATAAATTCTTTTAGTAAAGATGTACGTAAAAATGTTGTTGACTATTAATTAAAAGCAATTATGAAATATCTCTCTAATCAAAAAAGGAAAGTATTCGAGAACTTGATAATAGATTGTGCAACATGAATTGACTTAGGACAAAGAATCCTAGACTTGAATCCGATGGAATTCTGTTGAATTCATATCTCTATTCTTTGATCTTCCCCATCAGCCTTCCAATCTTACTTCTCGTGCAATAAGCTGCAAATTAACCGCTTAATTTTAATTTATTTTATTTTATTATTAATTTACATAACGGTAGAAAAATACAATAACAAAATTTAGTTAAATAAAATAAAATAAAACTAAATACTTCATACTCACTATTGATTAACTTAATTTCTTAACATAATCTACAACAAAATTGAAAATATAATATAATAACATTAAAATAAAATTATAAAATTGAATTAAATAAAATAAATTAAATTAAAAAACAACCATATCGATTGTTATTTGGCTTCATTCGAAAACATTATCTAATATGAAATAAAATAAAAATCAATAATTCATGCTTCTTGTTGATTGACTTCATTGTGTTATATTAT